TGGGGGCCCGGGGGGGGGGGGTGTTATATGAGGTTTTCTGTGTTTTAATCTTCGTAAACCACACAGCGTCACTTGTGTGAGATGGGCAGCTACATAGATGATATAAATGAATAGTAACTGCTGTGAAAATAAAAGGGAAATCCCCCACCTGAATCACCCCCAGCTCTTAAAGCAACGGCAGGATATAAATATATTTATTTTATTTCCTTTACAGCATTTCTGAGCCACTTCACTCCCAAAGGATTCTGGGAGACAAACAGTAAAGCAACAACCACAGAATTAAAGCCGATGAAACTGAATTCTCGGAGAATCTGGACAAAACGGGGGGGGGGGGATTACATAACACGTGATTGCTTTGGAATTCGCTACCAAGAGGCTTCCAAAAAGGGCTGGACGAATTCAGGGAAGTCATGGGGATCAACGGCTATTAGCTTTGATGGCGGGGTGACTGCCTCTGAAAGCCGTCTGCTGGGAGACTCGCAGGCTTCCTTGTGCAGTGTGAGAACAGACGGCTGGACTAGATCGGCCAGGGGTCTGATCCAGCAGGGCAGCACTTAGGCTCTTTGGTTCTAGAGCAAACCTCAACGAAGACTTTAACATTTGCTATAAATGAGCATGCCACCCACATTCAACTTGGGCCAAATCACAGTGGAGTAAGACTATTTTAACCTGCCTGTAAAAAGCCAGATTATCTTGGGGGATAGAGTTCCATGAAGTGGGGTTTACTAGTGAGAAACAGAAGGAGAATTAACTAAAAATCACAGTAAAACCTCTAGCCTCTTGTTAGCGTTCTCATGTCCTCCAAAGGAAAAATATCTGAATCTTTTCATGCAAAGCAAACCTCAGGAACTATAACCGCAAGTTATACTGTAACTGTATAAAGACGCATTCACCAAAATTTCACACTTGCCTTTGTCTCATCTTGGCTGGAAAGCAGGCTGCTATTTGGATTTAAAACCATACTGTGTTCCTTCTTTGGGTAATCTGGATTTTCCAGAAGAAAATTACAAAGTCTGCAAAGCAAAAGCAGACAGAACCCTTGGAAAGAGTGGTCTTTTAAAGAACTTTCCCCGTGCCCCTCAAAAATTAAAACCAAAACCAGCCTTGGTAAATGGACAAAGTTTTATTGCTCAGGACCACAAATCAAAAACGGAGAGAGAAGCCCCCCCGGAGGGAAGGAAAAGACAGACTGGAGATCGAAGGGTTAAAGGAGGTAGACAAGAAAGGGATTCAAAGGGATGAGCAGACCAATCCGTGGAGCAGGACAGTTAAGAGCATTTTTTGAGATGTGCCAAAGTTGGTTTGGGGTTCTTGCTCAAGGACAGGAAACTATCTGAAATCAGTAAGAATTCAGCTGGTTCTGCTACACATCCTGCATCGAGCAATTGACATAGCCTAAACAGAACTGAATGTGAATTTGCAAACAGATTAATTGTTCTGAAAGAAGCACCATCTTTTTAAATGATGCATCCAAGCTTCAAAATAGGTTCCTTTCAGAAGAGGTGTTTCTTTAAAGATCAGAAGAGGAGAGGATTTTGCCCACTAAGAAGAAAAACGGTCAGCTATGGATTTGTAGGGACTTTTTTTTTTTTAAATTGTCAGCATATTTAGTCCCCCATTAAAACTAAAAACAGTATTTTGCCAACTCTGGCAAAAAATCACACATACATACACACACAGAGCTCTACGAAATTACATTCTGGGATAAATTACACCAGATTATGGAAGGCCATGGACAAAAGCTCCCAAATCTTTACACTTTGCACAAAGCACCTTTGAGAAATTATTCAATGAAAGCCCCAAAATTAATGATTGGCCCCATTAATGAAGACCTAACATGTTCTAATTTTGTGTGTGTTTGTGTGTGCATGTATGTGCGTAAGAAGGCAAACAGGAGCCTACGGGGAATTTTCACCAGGAAAAAGAGTGGGGAGAGAGAATTAAAGTACATCTGCTTTCTGCAAAGATGCAAGAGATTCCCTCTCAGATCTGCTGCCTCGTCTAATTTAGCCTTCTGCAGCGAAGAGGCAAAAGCAACCTACAGCAGAAAGGGAGGCTGAATATCAGAATTGGTTTTATTTACTCAGGCAAAAAGATACCCAAATAAGGATAGGAATAACAAGGGGGATAAATAAATTGACATTTCTTTGCCCTGTTGCCAGCAGAAAGCCCCTAAGGAAGCCCAAAATGTTTACTGGGCACAAAACTGACCACAGATTGCGTCTCAGCGGTTAGTCCTGCTTGCGTGAGGAGAAGCAACAGCAGAAAAAGGAACCACGCGCTAGAAACTGTTACACAGTTTAGAGGCTCTGAAACATCCAGAAACGGGGTGGCGGTTGTGGGGCAGAGAGATTGGGGTGCAAGTTCAGTGGTCTAAAACAAAAACGGTAATTCCGGGGAAAGCAAGAAAGCTAAAACACGAAGTCAGAATCGACTTTTGCTCAGGTACAAGAAGGGGAAGCCTGCACACAGCTTGTGAGTCCTCTCCCACGTCTAATGGCCATTAACTGCTTTGGGATTGTGCCACAAAGTTTTTTATACTTACACGTTCAAGTCACAGCAATTTTTGCTCTGTATTAGTTCCTCAATGTACTCTCTTGTTGCATCTGGAAACCTGGCTTCCTAGAAAAGGAGGAGGGGGGGTAATCCTTCTGACAGACAAGCAACTCAAGGAATTATTAGCGGCTTGCCCCTCAGTTATCCAAAACATGGTTTTCTCAGAGCATTCGTTGGACTGGCCGAATCCTGAATCCTCTTCTCGCAAGGACTCGGCTTGAGAGAACTTAAGAAGCACTTACCGTTTCTCGGATGAGCAGCGCAATGAGGTCTTTGTCCGGCAGAGTAGCGCTCTGCTTGGGAAGCTCACCGGAGCTGGTATCCAGGGACCCTTGGACTGGAAACGCCGGGCCTGCCTGCTCATTTATTGCAGCCTGCTGGCCTTCATTTTCCTCTGGGGGGTGAGCTAGTTGGGGGGAAGCAGGGCCTGGAATGCCATCTTGCTGAGGCTCAGGCCTGGGAAAAGCTGGCCCCGGGATCTCCCCTTGGTATACCCTTGGCAGTGGCCCCAGTTCTATTTCCAACTGTGCTGGCCGAGAAGAAAGGAGATTGACCACAGTCCGGGCCTCCTTCTCCACAGGCTGGAAGTACGGATGATCCAGCCGCGTATTCTCCTCGATGCAATGGAAAATCCCTCCAAGGTTGGGGGCTAGCCGTGGCTGAAGCGTCCGATCTCTCTCATCTGGGTCTTCCTGATCGGTCACTAAGACCACTTCCTCCAAATTAATGACCTCCTTCGTGGCCTCTCTCTTCTGAACCACACTGGGCCCGGCCTCTGGCACAGTCCCACCGATCTCCCTCGGTTCAACAGGCTCCGGAGAATCCGGTAACTCCAAGACCTCATTCTCGCTTTTGTGTCTGCTCAGTCCCGTGCTCCCCGCCTTCAGGCAGTTCCGGCGGGCCCCAGGCAGCCTTGGAGAAAACGGGGTCTTAGTCTTCTGGTCTTCGTGAGACAGGGCCACCACGTCGCTGTTGGATCCTCCTTCCCCTGAGGTGTTAACGCCCTGCCAGGGAGCGGCTGGCTTGATCACGTTGGGCCGCAGAAACTTCTTCGTTGCTGTCTTTACAAGGAGGCAGACAGGAGTTAGAGTCATCATTCCTTTTGAAGCAGGGTCTAGATCTAAAATTGTGAGTGAGGTTAGCTCCACCCCTTTAATGTTCCAAAGTCCCTCAAGACCTGGCTATATCATCAGGCCAGGGGACTGGTGAAACCCTGAGACGGCTCCATGGTTAACCAAAGTCCCTCAAGACCTGGCTATATCATCAGGCCAGGGGACTGGTGAAACCCTGAGACGGCTCCATGGTTAACCAAAG